TATTCCAACACACGCAACAAGACTAGAAACAATTCCACAAGAAATATGCCCAGTTTAAATTACAGAAAGTTCAGGTTGAAAAGGGAGAACAAACAGACTTGCTGGGATGAAAATATTATGAAATGCACCTGCTTTCTAATGAGCTCATGAAATTAAGAGTTCAGGGTTACTTTTACATCCAAACGTGTCCAAGCAAGGTATCAATGCCTATATAGAAAGTGCCTTTCAGACAAAGCCAGAGGAAAACAATACAAGCAGCAACTGAATGATTTCTTGGGATAGTGGGAACCCCACCTGACAACAGTTGCTGATGTACTTGCCTCAGCACAGACTGAGATTAATGGCATTTTGGAATGAATAAGCGGGCTGCCGATTTACAGCCGTACAGCAATGTGAGGCCACAAATACCATTCAAGTCCATTACCTCAAAATTGATGAAGCCAATAAAATGGGCAGTGAAATTCTGTATAATACTGGATAATTGCAAAACGAAATCTCAAGGACATTATTTCTGAAGACACAACTAGTTTATCTCCACTCGAAGAACAAAGAAGGCAAAACTACGCGCAGGTACACTTCCAACAAGTTTCAAAAACAAAATATAAAGAAGACTTTAGTTTTCTCTTGGTTTGGATTTCAAACCAAGTGATTTGACAAAATTGCCAAAATTCATATCAGACCAATTTTGGCTTTATGGGGTTTCTGTTTAGCTGCCACAGATGATACAAGGACTGAATCAACAGGGCAATCCCCAAAGCAGATCTAGCCCATAATAACTGTGCTATCAAAAGCCATAAAAATCGTCAGTGGAAGCTATTCAGAACTGAACAGATACAAAATTAGTGTCTCTATATGGAACTGCAGTTGGACTCTTTAAAAAACAAAATATCTGAAACACAAACACAGAATTCCAGCCTTGTTTCACTGTAGAGTATTCTCTTTTAACTATTCAATTTTTTAAAATAATCAAACACAAGATATTTTTAGTACTTGAAGGACTTTGTATTAAAATTAGTATTTTTATTTGAGCATTAATAAAAATATAGAGAAGTCCCACCAAAAGTATTTTTTTCAAAATCAAGAATGCTTTCCACTTTAAAAAACTAACCAAATTTTACCATTTAGCTTTTAGAACATACTTAAATAAAAATATTCAGGATTTTTGTCTGCAGTAAGCAATTGTAACAACAGAAATTATTATAAAAGTAAAAGCAACAACCCAAATTATTGGTTAGTGAAATTATAAATAAAATTACTTTTAGTGTGCAATATAGAAAAGGGCTTTTTACAGACCAAAGAAATATGCAAATATAGAAATACTAGCCACAAAAAAAGAACAAAAAACTTGATATTCTAGAAAATTTTTTACTATCAAGTAATTATTTAAAAATATTTTCCTCCAGATTTGTCTTCTTTCTCAGACTAGTTTGCAAGCATAAACTGAATGCTTCCAGACTAAGCTGCTTCTGGCTTCTTGGAATATGGGTTTTTTTCCCTAAAATTCATAAAAAGGAGTATCTCACCCCTGCTCATATCCATCTGCAAGAAAACACTGCACAAATTTATTTCACATTTATCTATAGCACTATTCTCCAAAATGGATGAAAAATAAAAGTGAATAATATCTTGAAAAAATAAATGGTCATATTTTTAAAATGTGTCTTCTTCAGAAAAAAAAAATACTGTCTAAATTCAAATTACACTCCAGAAATGGAGATAGACATCTGAGTCACTGAGTGTAATCCTTGCTACCAAACCTTCACCTCCTGTAGCCAACTCACCGAGCCTGTCGTAAACAGCGACATGTCCTAGCCTACCCCTCAGATAGGAGGCTGAACCCACGTACTTTTCCAGCTCCAGTCTGAATTTATTCACAGTCACACCTGTTAGGATTTAGGATGGCAATTGCTCTCAGGACAAGTGTTCCAAATCTCATCAAGATAAATAGTCCTTAAGCAAAATCATCACCTACAGCATTACGGCAGAAAGAGATTTAAAATAATCTTTCCTAAACGCAAGTCAAGCTGTTAGTTTTTGCCATTTTTATTTAAAATTATATCCATATGTTAATGTGAAAGGTATTACTTGAACTATCTACGCCTTTCATGCACATTTTAAATTGCTTTTTCTATATATATATATATAGAAAATAATAATAAATTTTGTTTTCTCTTTTCTCTGCTTTTGTACTTCCATTTCCCACCCAGTGATCTCATGTTCCCTTGTACCTACCACTCATCAGGTCTCTAGAGTACAGGTCTCTGCATACAGTTTATGGGACTGGGGTTTAATGTTTTTCATTAGCCTCCAAGGGCTCCTGTGAGATTCTGCTTCTTCCTCCCCTCCTTCCACAAACCCTGGCACAGCCTGTGCAATCCACATCCCTTCCTCAGCTTCTGGAGATGCCGCAGCGAGAGAGACACAAGATGGGTGTAAGAACTCAGTCCATGTTGGCTCTGTCCTTTCACTTTCTACTTACACTTTTCCCATTAATTTTACTCTTTTCTCATTCTCTTTTCATCAGTGTCTGAGGAGACAGCAGACAAAAGACATGGGATTAGAGACTGCAGCCTGAAGTACCTTGGAGGAGCTGCTCACAGTGTGCCATCCCTTGCTGGGCAGTGACATTTCAGGCAGGCTGTGTTGGGCAATGCCAGCAAGACAAACATGGCCATCACGCCAAATGAATGATTAATGACTCAACTGAGGCAGCAAAATGACAAGGTCTTAACTGTGAGAGTGACAGTGTAAGACTAAAGTCTACACATGACTTCTGATCTCTCCCCAGAGTAGCAGTGCTGTCCAGGGCTCCAAATGGCAGAGGGGAATTCTGAGACTAACGGGATCACCGTGGCTCACAGGGAGCTCAGAGTCCCTGTCGTGCAGCACAATCCCCTGCCCAAGCAGTGTCACCCACAGCAGGTTACTCAGGGTCAGGGCATGCTCCACTGGAGAATATCTCCAAGGATGGAGACTCCAAAACCTCTCTGGGAAACCTGTGCAATTGTTAGACTGTCCTCATAGCCAAGCTCTTTACTGTCCACCACCCCCCTTTTATTATTTATTTTTTTTTGTATGTTCTTATGTTCCTTTTCAGAAACAAAGACAACTGATGAGCACAAACTGAGTTAATAAATAGGTAGGGGAAAAAAAAGAAAAAGAAAATGAGTGATAATACAGATCTTCTAATTTAACTCATCATATTTTATCTATTGCAATTTCTCTGGTTACCACAAGATTGGCACAATTCTTACGCTTGTGTTCACAACAGCAAGCATTATGTCGTAGGAAGCAACAGGAAATCCAGCTCTGAGCTGCAATCTCAAAATTCCCATTATTTGCACATTGGTACCATGCAAACTCATGAAGTGAAGATGAGACTGAGTTAGAACTTTTTATGGTTTATAATCCAAGGATGGACAAATGTTTTTCTTTAAATCATTATAAACAAGCTTCAGACCTGCATATGCTTCATTTTATCATCAAAAACAGCAACACAAACCTGTAAGACTGGCTCCTAAACTTCATCTAGTTTGCACAATGAGTATGGCTTTTTCTAATTGCTTTCAGTTTCTGAGTCAGATATTTACACAGAGATGCTGCTGCTCTTCTGACACTGCAGCAATTCAATCAACACAGAATTTGGGACTTTTTTTTCCAGGGACTATGATGATGAGAACTGAACTGAAAACCTAATGTGCTCTTTCTACTTCAGTGTAACCATTATGTGAAATTTCTCTGTTCATAATTAATTTGGGGAAGAGAGAAGAGAATAAAGTCTTCCATAAATCCTTCATTTATTACCTGGTCATTAGGGTATAGGCCAGAAAAACAAAGAACATAAAGCAATGTTCAGTAATGGCCTCTGCACCTCCAGGTGATGTGATAGAAGGTCCAGGCTATAGGCCATGAAGAGAAATAGAAAGATTCCAGCTTATTTCATTACACCTTTTTCCAAACATTCATTCTCCAACTTCTGTATGATATCAAGGTATTTGCACTTAGGGACCCAAGTTTAAAATAAGCTTAGCAATACTTAAATGCTAATTCCAAAACTTAAAAGTAAACTCCAGAGAAAGCTCATGTAATTTGGAAGAAAGGAAAATAAAAGGAAACAAAATTTAAACAAAAGCCAAAACCCCAGAAACAAAAAAATAAGTAAAACATATACATATCCCACTATGGGGCAGAATGATTTTTGGAAAATCCTATTTGTACAAGGAAAAAAAAAAAATGCAGTTAGAGAAAACCATTATTCAGTAATTACCAAGTGAATTTTACCGTGTTCAGAGCCTGTGTTAAAAAATAGAAAAATCAGACTCTTTGTACCACAAAGCACCCCGATGATGGATCTCACTAAATACATGGTTTCAATATCATGTGCTATAAGTATTGCTCAGCATCAGCCAAGATCAAAATACAGTATTTCACTTCATTCATACCAGAAAAATGATACACTGCCTTGGGTGTGACTGCCCTCCAATTCAATTAAGTCCTTTCCCCATTATGTCTCAGCCAATTGGTAAAGACACCAGCATGTGATTTCAGAATATTTTATTTAGTTTTGTCTTTCTACCTCCATGGAGGATTTTGACTGAGGGGCCGGAGGATGGGACAGGGGGGGTCACATCGTTCCTTCACAACTGCAGCACAGGATTTATGGCACCCTCCATAGCACACATTAAACAAAGCACTACTACACCTGAAGCGTTCACCTTAAAACATACTTTAGGCAACTTTTGCCACGCCTTTGGCTTGTTTTCTGTCGCTTTTTTAGGCTTCTCAGCGACACTGCAGGACACAGGAAAAAAGGAACACAGTAAGAAAAGTAAGGTTTGAGAGAGTACAAACTAAACCCAAACCAAAACACCCAGCTTGTAAGCATTTCCCCAGGTCTAACTGGGCGTGCCCGGCAAAGGCTGAGGGTAAAAAAGCAGCGTTAAAAGTTGAGTGTGAGGGACAGAAACTGCAGAAACCAAGGGGGTTTATTTCTGACTTACATTGCTGCCAGCAGGCTGCTGCCATTCCCTCTGCGGGGCTCTCGCTGGCCGGCCGATCACATGACGCCGGGAACCAAAATAGAAAAGAGCGAGGAAACCGAAGCAGAAACACGTTTTGGAGAAAAGACCTATCCTGGCCATGATAACACACCCTCAGGGGCAGAAGGTGGTAAATTTAGACGGGAGCCTAGGCTGAAAAGTGGGTAATGCCTTGAACCTTGCAGCCAGGCATCGGCTAGCCTTTCAGTACATGGGAAACTTAATAAATCTCAGCCTGGGTCTGTATGTAACTAAACCTGCTAACTGCTCCGGTAAATCACCAGACCTTGAAAGAAAATAAGATCTATCAAATTTTAAAATAAATCTATTGAAGTTTAAAAATAGCCTCCCACCGTCGGAACCATTTTCATCTTCAGGCTAAGGCTTCTAGTAGTTTGTTTTGTAGAGAGGAAGCAATTTTTTTAAAAGGATATGCTCTTAAGGTAATTGGGCGAGCTGTAAACACATTTCGAAGATTGTTTTCAGTTCTTTCATGAGTAAAAGACATGGTTGCAGACCTATATGCTAGTAAAACAATGTTGTAAATCTATAAACTAATAATTTAACCATAAAAATATAAACAAAAATGCAAAGACTCCGAGTCAAAAGCTGACTGCTGTTTAGTTATCCCTGTTAGAAGGTTAGCTCTTCCAGTTTTGTAAATCTCATAAAAAATAAACTCCAGCAAAATACTATTCTTGGGATTGCAGGAAATAAGAGTTCCTTTCTGCAGCAGCTAACTCTTTCATCATGTCCTAGTCATTCCAAATAAGACTGTTACAATTTTTCATTCTGTGAAATTTCAATGTTTCCCTGTTTCCAGTGAATGGCAGGAGAGTTATTGAAGAAAAAGGCTTTACTGTAAAATGCAAACAGCAGTAGAGAATCTCTGATCGAGGAAAAGGAAACATGCTGTATATCTTAACAGGAAAAGGACAGGAAAGAATTTCATGTTCTAACCTTTAAATGCAATCACCCTCACCTTACAGTCATAAGGCAAAAATATTGAAAATCCCACCCTTTCAATGCAACTGAGTTGCAAGAACCTCTGAATAAACACAGGAGTAGAGAATGCAATTCAAAATCCTACATAGCAGACTTCCAACTCTGCTAGAAAAAAATGGAAAATAATTTGAGCGTGAGTTAAGAAACCAAATTGTTCTTCTTTTGTTAAGAAACATAATAAATATATAAATGAAAGGAACCTCCCCCACACAGAAGTTCTTAATAAAATCTCAGATTAAATTTCTCAGAAAGAACTATATACCTGTAGCAAAATATATACATCATTAGAGAATATCTTCAATCAAGACATATAACTTGGTATTAAAAAAAAAAAAACAAGACCTGGTTTATTCTGCAGGATATCCCAACACTTAACCTAAACTTTTCACAAAGTGAGGTACAAGTCCACATAAACATGGTAGGATAAGAAAGGCTCCTTGTATCTTCCCTGTTCTTATTAATGAGGAAAGGAAACGTGAGCATTGACTCAAACTAGTAGTAGCATAGAAGTATACACCAGAGCTGTTGCCACTAATTATTTAAATAGGAGAAGCTTTGCATCACTGAAATTGTACCCTCTGGCAGGTAAAGTGACAGAACTGAAGTAGGGGAAGCTTGCCATTGATCATGGAGAGAGAAGTACACAAAATATACAAAACAGGAGATTCTGTCATATCTCTTAAAATTACTACAGAAAATTGGCTTCAACTAGCTCTTCATTGATTTCAGGAACCTGTATGAAAAATCATCCCTTGGATCAATTTTAAATGTAACAGTGGCATGCTTTGCCATATTTCAGAAAAAGCCTAGCTAAGTGGTAACATTTTTCTCAGAGCATCCTCACTGTACATCCCAAATTGCTCAAATAATCTCAGGAACCCCTCTGTGGTCAAACACATAATTTATTTCATTTGCTTTGTGTTATAGTCTCCTCTGTTTTACTTATCATTTGGGACCTATGAAAGCTGCAAAACACACAAGGTAGGTGGGGGCTATGCTACAGTGTTCCACCACAGGTATGTCAATGGGCTGGAAATGTAATCACCTGGGGAAAAAAACTAAAGGCAAAGACAGTGAAATAAATGGCTAGAGGAACACCAATACAGGGAAGGAAATGCACCCATATGGGATAAAAGCACAGCAAGGAGGATGTACACCATCTACAAGACAGAGTACAAAACCTTGGGTAAAAACAGTGTCAGCGTATCCCGGAGCTAAATGCAGAGTGAGGAAGATTTTTGAAACAGAATTGAACATTTATGTAGCTGGAACCAGGGCATCAGTGTTGTTCTACAAGCCTGCTTCCCCCAGTGTCCTTAGAACTGATATATATAGAATCATTAAATCATTTACATTGCAAAGTAACTTTACAATCATCAAGTCCAACTGTTAACTGAGCACTGCCAGCTTCACCACTAAACCAAGTCCCTAAGTGCTACATCTACACATTTTTAAGTACCCCAGAAATGGGGGCTCAACCACTTCCTTGGACAGCCTGTCCCAGTATTTAGAAACTCTTTTGGTGAAGTAATTTATGCTGATATCCAACCTGAACCTCCCCTGGAACAACTGCAGTCCATTCCCTCTCATCCTGCCATTTGTTCCTCGGGACAACAGACTGACTGCCACCTTACCTATATCTTTCTTGTAGTGAAGGGCCCAAAACTTGGCAGCCTCATCAGTGCCAGGTACAGGGGGACAAACACTGTCCTGGTCCTGCTGGCCAGGATGCCATTGGGCTTCTTGGCCACCTGGGCACAGCTGGTTCATGTTCAGCTGCTGCTGACCAGCACCCCCTGGTCCTTTTCTGACGGGCAGTTTCCAGCCCCCAGCCTGTAGCACAAGAGGTCACTGCTGTGACCCAAGTGCAGGATCTGGCACTTGGTAGTGAACTGCTTAAATAGGCATGCATTAAATGGGCAATTTGACAAATAACTGCATTTTCATACTCCAGTTATTTTTTAAAATACTGTCTAGTATGTATCGATCAGTTTATAAAGTTTCTGCCAGAAGTATATTTGGGACAACCTGTTGACCTGCCCTGGTAGTACGTTATGATTTCCTAAAAAAGTCAATTCATAGATAGTTACAGAACACTGTTTAAAGCAGTGTGCAGAACAGTTTTATCCATTTTAATTGCTAAAAACATATACCTCTATTTTACCTTCTTGGTAGGTAGCTTGATTCTTGAGCCAGAAGAAACCAAGTCAATCTTTTCAAGCTGTGGGCTCACATGCCTCAGAGTAGGACTAGATTGAAGCAATTTTCTGAGATTGCCTCTCTGTTTATAAATAGAATACTTAGCAAGAGAAATAGCAGGGCCAGAAAGTTATTTCACATCCATGGATAAACTCAGTATTTGGACCCCTTTTTATTCACAATACTAATACATCCTCAAAAGAGTTTTCTTCACCAACCCCCAAAAATTTAATTCTGACTACTATCACCGAGTGTCCATATGTTCTAAAGGGACAGTTTGCCATAAAGTATAAATAAACCATATTGCCATATGGTATAAATAAACACAAATAGACTAATAATATGTTCATCCTTCCTTATGCCCTCAGTTTAGAACAAAACTGTATGTTTTAGTCTTAATATGCAGACAGGAATAAGTAATATCCCTCTCTTAATTCCTCTTGTAACTGTAATACACAGCCATTTGAACAAAGGATGGTAACCCCAGTGCTACAACTGGCCCTTAAGAGCCTAAAGATAATCCTTTGTAAGACAGTCACCCCAATTTACTTAAATTCACCACACACATCTTTGCAAATTTACAAGTGTGTGGTGACACACCTGACATAAACACTAACATATGTATGTTGCTCACAAACTATTCTCCTGGAAATCTCCATCCTCATGCAAGATATTTAAACTCCTTTAGCAACCTTCTATGACTGAAGATTCCAAGTGGTGATTTAAACCAAAAAGATCATATTCCCTACAACCAGGAAAAAATAGTTTCCAGTATGGTCTAATGTAATAATAAAACATAACCCTCCTAACCCAGTGATTACTGCTTCTGCTGAAGACTTTTTTCTCCCTAGCAGATAAAACAGTCACTAATAGAAACACAAATACTTAAAGACTAATTTTGTGCTTTGAGGGGAGAATGGAAATAAGAGTTATTTCTTAATCTGTTTACATATGTTATGTGACTTCACATGTAGAAGACAGTAGCCTGTTTAATGCAGTCCCTATTTCTGCTAAGGGAAATAGAACAAAACAAAGAAATGTCAGGTTACTCAGTGTTATCCTGCTGTTATGCCTGCTGTGTCAGCCATCCATATGTCATAACCACAACCTGTTCTACCAAATTGTTGCAGACTAGAGATATACATTTCTTTTTGACTTTTTTTTTTTTAAGAGTGCTACCAGGTTCTTTTTCAGTTTAAAAAGTAAAAATATTTATTACATATATATATATATATATATAGTATTTATATGCAATGTTTTACATGAAGTTAACTTTGGGTTTTTTTGCTGTAATGCAATTTGACCAAATATCTTACCATAGTAACTTTCATAATTTCAATCTATTTAATAACAAAGGTCCCTACATCATTTCTGCCACTTAAAATTAATTTAGAGGATATACAATTGGAATTTAGCCTTTAATGCAGAACAAAAATTTAATTTCAGGAAAATACTATCAAAAGTGTATGCACCAAACAACTACATATCCAAGCACCTGTTCAGGGTCAAAAACATTGAAACTTATATGGAAAACTTGGAACAGATTTATTCAAGAAAGATATCCTTGTGATATCTTAGGTTCCTTCCTGATCGTCAGCAATCAAATACATTACTTGGGCCTCATATTTCCCATATGCCATTCAACATAGCATTCTCATTGCCATCATTATCACCATCTGTTCAAGAAAGGTCAGGATTTAGATGAACATATTAAGTCTTAGAAACATAATATTAGAAATGGTTTAAAACAAATTAGTTTCAAAAGGTTAAACAAATTAATTTCCTTGCTATGGCTGTTGAGCATTAAGGGAGACAAAGTATATTCAAGCCAGTAGGGAGCTTCCCTTTTCCTCCCAGCACTCTGTAACAGCCTCAAGTGTACCCAGAAGATCTTTAGCAGC